AAGGCCTGATGGAGGTGGAGGGACTGATCCTGGAGCTTACTTTGTTTTCTTTTTAATGGGATGTCAGTTCTGCAGAATAAACAGCCTTTCCTGAATCTAGAGCCATAAGCACGTATTTGTCCAGATAAAGCGCAGGAAAGAAATGTTGTGTGCTGCCGCCCATCAGTCATCTCTGCAGCCTCCAGGTAAAAACTAGCAGGGATTCTTCCTACTCAGCTGGCAGAACTCAACTCGATCAGTAAATCGGGAGTGCCCGACAAGGCCCCAGAGCAGTGCGGAGCCGACACCCAAGCGTCCTCTTCATCTGCAATCCCAATGCAATCACTGCAGAAGGGCCAAGCCGGGTGGGCGCCCACAGGAAGGGCAGACTGTGTCGGAGGCTTGGGGAAAGCGAGGGTCAGGTCCACAGCCTTCTGAGTTTTCCTTTTCATAAATTGCGCCTGCTTTGCAAATCAAAGTGGGTGACCAAGGTGACTGTAAGTCCCAGTTCAGATGGGTTCCCTGAGTGGTGGTCAGGACCTCATATCCGCCTGGCTGAGCGCCCCTGCTTCTGAACCAGCCAATCGGCATGTTCACACGAGCAGGGGCACTGGGCTGGACTCCGATCCAACTCATTTACCCATCACGTTTCCCTCTGAAGTGACTGCTCTGTGCTGTGCGGAGCCCTCGCCTCCTGCTCCTGGAGCTCCCATCTCCTGCAAATGCCACGCGAGTGAGCAAGACGCCGCCGACGACACAGGACCATGTGGAATCCAGTCTCAGCCCATGTCTCATGGCCCCGAGGAGCCAGGCATCGGCTCTGCTCAGGGAGATGGCAGAGAGTTCAGGACTTCATGGCATCATGAAAATCCTCTTCCTTCCCAAGCTTTCCCTCAGCCTCACTGGCCCCCGACACAGCGAGAACAGGGCTCCGGAGCCAGGCCAACTACCTGAAGATGGCATCCAGCTGACAGCCTGGCACAAACTGGCTTATCGGGTACGTGGGCAAACAGCTGTTCCTCAGCAGCAGGGAGGCCGAGCTCAATTCCAGACCTTGGGGGGCATCACAGGCCCAGCACCCACTTCTGGCTTCCCGAGGGTGCCCTTCCTGCCAGTGTCTCCAGGTGCTGCCCCCTTCCCACGTGCTGCTGGGGTGTCGATGCCTGCTCCTGGTTACCCCCTCAGACTGCTTCTTCCTCCACGCCCACCACAGGGGCACCCTGGGGCCCCTCCACTGCCGCCCTTCTTGGTGACTTTATTCCACAAACCTACAGTTTATCTTCTTCATCTCTCAGGAGTTTGTAGAGTCTGGGTCACTGTGGCTCTCTCTCTGGCACAACTTATGTGAAATTTTGGATGCTTTCAGTTTCCAGCTCCGTGAGTCTGCTCAGCCCCTTCACCTCTTGGCCATGAACAATCTTGTCCCTCTAGCCGGTCACGCCTGTAGTTATGTGGCAGGTTTGTCATTTCCAACCACTGGACCCTTATCGCGTCAGTTGTGAGCAGGCCTGCTTCCCACGTCATTCCCACTAATTCCCTCGCTCCTGCATGTCGGCAACCATGCCAGGACTCCAGCTGCTGCCCACCCTGCCGCCTTCTCTGTCCTTGGTCCTGTCGTTCCCTTCCTCCTCACCCAGTTTTGTTCCCTTGGCGGGGGCTTATCACCCACCCGCCCCTGCCTCCCTGGAGACCTCCAGCTCTGTTAATCCCGGGACTCCCTCCATTCTCCCGCTGCAGGTTTAAAATCCAACACTTTAGGAAACACAGATTCAGGCCACCTGATTTCACCCTGAATTCATCACCTTGAACTCCAGGAAGGCCCTGAGGCTGCCCAATGATCCTCTTATGCGTCCTTGGTCACCCTCTTCTGCATGACTGCTTCATACCCTTTTCTCTTTCTCAAAGCCTTAAGCCTTCATCTCCGCTCTCCATGACGATGGCCTGGCTTCTATTGGAACTGAGAGTGCAGAGCCGTATGAGCAGGCCTCCAAGCTCTCCGCTCCACATCCACGGCTGCCGGACTCCGGGCCTGCCGTGTGAACCCTGGAGTCCTGCTGCTCCCGCTAAGTCACTTCCACCCCTGTGCCCAGCCTCTCCCTGTCTCCTGTCTACTCAGAGACCTCCCTCCAACAACCAGGCCAACTCTTTCATATCATCAGCATTCTCTCACCTGCTCCATCAGCACATAAACTTGCTGTTGTCTCTCTCATCTTAAGAAAGAAAAGAAATGAATGTCAAGCATCTCTTGGGCTTCCCCGCATCACACACTTTCTCACATACTTCTGGCTCTGACTTCTCTCCTGGCCATTTCCCCAGCACACTCTGTCAAGTTTTCCACTGAAAATATTCGAGACGGGGTCGCTCGTCACCTCCGTGGGGCTGAACCCATGCCCACTCTCGCCCAGTTAGCCTAATCTCTCCGTGGCTTTCATCGGGAGACGCTTCTCCCTGGACCATAAACACTGAGCTCTCCCACCCTGCACGGGGGTCAGGCCCACCCAAATGTCTGCTTGTCTCGTCCCCATGGAAGTGCCATTTACTCCTCAGGACCTCGCTTTGCTCTCAAGGCCCCACAAATCCAGGCATGGCACCCACAAAGTCTTCTTCTCCAAGGCCTCCTTCCATCCGGTTTATACAACATGGTGTGGCCCTTTTTGGCCTCTGTGTCCGCTATTCCTGTTTAGGGTTAGAGCCCGAGTGCAGAGTAAACATGGAGATGGAATCCACACCTTCCTGATCTGGCTGATGCGCTAGCCGTAGTGTGGTGTGGCGACTCGCTTCCTAGTGCCAGTTGCCCCGGGAGGGCGGGTGGGCAGCAGAGGAGGGTCCCAGCAGTGTCTGGGTGCCAGGACTTGTGTGGAAGAAGGGGTGCTATTCTGAGACCGCCTCTAAATGCCCCGTGATAGCCAGCTGTGGTGTCGACTTGAGCAAGGAACACCCAGGTCTGGCAGTCTTGGGAGTGTGCGGATGATGGGCTCCCGACGCAGGGAGACCGAGCTCTGGGGTGGTACCAGCCCACAGACTGGGGGCCCCGAGGGAACAAAAAGGGAAAGAGGAAGGGGCTCACCCCTGCCTCTTCAGAGGAGCTCCGGCCTTCACTGTTGCCTTTGGATGTCACCTCTAGGCTGCCAGAGGGTCTTCTCAGGCTTTCTTCCGCTCTCTGATGCACTCGCACAGGGCCCAGCAGCGAGCTCTGCAGCACAGACTTTGGCCTTCCTCTGCGCCTGACTGTCGGTGGCCACTGTAAGCCTGCTCGGAGGTCCCTCCGTGTTGTGTGTGTCACGTTACACTCTCTGTTCCTCTAGTGCTGCACCAGTGCTCTACACCTCTGTGCGCCTGCTGCCCAGGGGCAGTAGGGAGGGGAGAGAGGCCTTACCTGCTTGGCAGCAGAGGGCGCTACCAGCCAGGCTCACTAGAGGAGCACAGCTGGGTCTGTCTTCCCGGGCAACGAGCACTCTTGGCTTTGCACACTCTGCTCACTTTGCAGCCTGCACGGCGCCTCCTGGCTGAGTCCGCAGAACTGAACAACACCTGGCACAGCCTCTAGACTAGGACTCAATGTTTAAAAAGTTCTACCTACTGAATGTGGAAACTAAAGTGTTCATTGACAGTAAGTATTTTGGTGGCAATCGAATGTTGGAATCGGTTTAAAAAAGTTTTTACATTGGAAGGTTTTCAGATTCTCCTGTTTCCCAAAAGGCTTTATCAGAATCAGATGGGCCTTCTGTCAGGAAAGCTCCAGGTTTCTGGCTGTTTCTTCTCCCAGGGCCCTACAGTGCTGTCTTGAACCTGGAGTCTATGGTCCACTTTCTATTTTCATTCTAAATGCCTGAATTTGGTAAACCATTATCTTCTTGAGATACTTGAACTGTTCTGTGTCCTTAAGATTACTGGTAAGAAAGCTAGTTTCCTTGTTGCCTGTCGGGGAGCCTGATTTCCAAGGGAAGCTGCACCCTGTTTATGGGGACTGAGCCCCGGTGGTGTCAGGGACCAGGAGAGGGCAATGGTCAGGGTGGCCACCCCAGATTCTGTGCAGACATCTCCTCCTCCTCCTCCTCTCCAGTGAGGAATTATCAGAAAGCCAGTGAGTCTGGTATTTAAACATGAATTCTCCTGTAATTTGGTGCTCTTCAATGGAGGTTTTCAGAGCTCAATTTCAGTTTCATCTCAGAGTGGAATTTCAGAGTTACTTGACAATAACTGGTTTGCTCTTAAAACATGAAAGTGGAAAGTGGAGTCTGGATGTGTCCACCCCTCCCCCGCTGCAGGCGTGCAGCCTCTGCTGCAGGGAAAAGCAGTTCAGTGTGGATGGAGACACACCGAGCCACCTTGAGCAACTGCTCTGCACCATCCAGGGCCTACAGTGGCAGAAAGTTCCCCATCTCTTGAGAGATTCCTGGGTGGCAAAAACCTTGCGTAGTCTCGTGGGCTCCAGCATCCGACCTCCTGAGACCCAGTGAGCAGCTGGACTCAGACAGAACAGACAAGCTAGGCCCAAGGGGTCACTGTTTTGCTCCCAGATTTCTCTAGATTTGCAGATGGGAAGGTTTCCTTGGTCACTCTTCTGGTTAGAGGGTTGGAATAAGACAGTCAGCAATGAAGACTTGCTGTGATGCTACAAACAGCCAGGTTCGGGCCTGCCATGCTTCTCTGTGCCAGGCCAGGTTGGATGAAGTTGGTGGGGTGGGGTTGTGGAGACTCCAATGGGAAAGGTGGAGGCTGCGACGCCTTTAAGATAGAAAAGCGGTGTGTAACTAATAAGATATACCTAAGAGCCAAATTTTCTTCTCATACCTTGAAAATCAATTCTATATCAAGTTTATACAAAATGAAAATGCTAGTAGAACTAGTAAAATTGGGGGTAAAATGTTAAAAGTAAGGAATATACTTCACTGCCAGGAATTAGATTCAAAGGTGGTAGAGCATTCTTCTCCCTGTGGCTGATTTTAAAGAAGCAGAGTCAGACAGCGCTTCTCCATTACTCTGCTAGTGACATTTCCAAGACACAAAGAGACTCCGTCCAGGCCATTAATACACGACTTTATTGTGATTTACTTTTTGATAAATATTACCAGTGGAAAAGACCTTTCTGAGATTCAACATATCACTTTTCCTGGAAAATACTTGAAGCAGATGCCTTCTGTAAGTAAAGCTTAAATGTGTACAAATTTATCAAAAGGACATTTCCAGTTCAAATAATAAAAATCTGTCTACTTGTCAAACAACTGCGGGTTGGGCAGAGGGAGAATCTGGAATAGATTGCGTGTTACACCAGGCTTTGCACAGATATATCTTGGCCGACAGCCTGCTCTGTTCTTTTGCAATGGAGTCGGTTTGGAAAGCGACATAAAACCTTCTCTATATCATGTACATTTTGTACACTTCACAGTGTTTTGGTAATAAAAGTATGGAAAGGGTTTGTCAAAGTGTGGAAATGATAAATGGTCACGTATAAATTTTTTCTTATGTTTCAGGTGGGAATGGAAGGCATAGAATGGAGTACAAAGGTCGCACTTTCTCTTAAATTCTTGTCACCACTTAACCAATAAGATCAGAAATTGCCCTGTTTGTTCCCTTTTCCCAAAGTTATCACTCAGCAGAAGAAAAATAAAAGCAACAACAGCAATTGGCAAGGAAAGGGAAATGATTTCTGTGTTTAGGCCAGAGGTAAAGCACACCATTCCTTTCAGATTGCTGCGAAGTCCACAGGGCAGGAGGTGGACAATCTCAGTCCATTTCCCAAGGTTGTAGTTCTCACTTGAGTGACCTTGGACAAAACAGAAAAAATACATTCTATCTCAAGGCACTTACTGCTTTAAAATCCCTTAGTGGTTCCCATGTTGTTTCTGGATGATATTCTGAGAGCATAGGAGATGTGTCCCCATCTGGCCCTTGCTACCTCTGCAGTGCTGTGTTCTGATACCATCATCCACCCCTGACTACAGCTGTGTCTCGATCCACTACTGTAGCTCCTTAGGGGACCAAATCCCAGCCCCCAAGTCTTTCTTTGACTCATTCAGTATATATTTCTTGGGCAGCTACTAGGTGCCAGACACTAGTGAATAAGTCACTGTGACTCAGGTACCCGTGCTGTTATGGCCTAGTGGAGATGGTCGACAAAAATAATAACCCCTGTCTGCTCAAATAAATTAACATAAATAAAAATAATTACAAATTATTATAGATGCTGGAAATGAGTGTTGACATAGACCTGATGGGTGGAGTAAAGTGTTGATGTTAAAATGTGCCAGGTGAAGACACAGGATAAAGACTTATAGACTGGGAAAATAACACACCCAAGCTCTGAAGGAAAAAGATGTTCTCATACTTAAGGAGCCAGTGTAGCTGGACCTTGGTAAGGGTATTCCTTGGTAAACAGAGCCTTATAAAAAAA